TTTCTCCGCTTGAATCAATTTAACAGTGAACCTTATAAGCAAAAATAACTTCTGAAAATAAAATTTATTCTGAAAAGCTGTTGTTGTACTGTAGCTAATGAGTAGGGATAGTTATGGATGTAGCTAGATCTTGATTCATTGACTGTCATTCATTGACTTTTCTTCACTGACAGGAGCAGAAGCAGGAATTGACGGAAGGATGAAGTACCTGGCTTGGAGCCAGAGGTGCATCCGTTTTCTGCACAAATTCCAGCCTTTGTAGCAGTTTGGTAGCAATTGTATTATACAGAAATATACATCCACTCAGCATTTTTCCGTGTGCTACTCTGGACGCTGGGGTGCATTTACTACTGTAAAAAGATCATATTTGGGGAGGAAGTCATTGTTTTCCAGCCAGCCAGAAGCAGAAGGAATACTTGATTCTTGCTGCTTGCTAGGTGATTGTTTTGATTGATTGTTGAGTTAGAAAAGTTTTAGACTGTGGTTTAGCTAGGGTGTTTGCCATCGCTGAATGGAAAGGGTGAGTTCTTCCTGACAATGCTTCTGACTTTATCTGACTCATATTGCTTCATATTTACTTGGGTCAGTACATTGTGCATCAACTGATTGTAGGCATGGACCGCAGCAGTTGCTGCGTTTGTAAAGGAAAAGAAGGAGTGAAGTTAGATGTCAGTATTTTTGACAGGAGATGATGAGAAATTTTGTCATCTAGAGAAAGTCTTGGGTAGAAGCTGAACAGACCGAATGGTGGGATGGAGCCTTGTGAAGTCTGCTGATTAGCAACTCTTCTTCCATATTAGCAGAAGGGAAGATGAGCACACCGTAAATGATGACTTTGCCCTTGGAGATCTCGCAGTCTAGTCTTGAAATAATCAGCACAGAGTGAGCAGGCACGTAAAACAGACGGGGGAATTGTATGCAGGGTGACATTAAGAGGAATACCTGATTATTTAGATACCATTTTGTTGTTAGTGTGCTTAAAGTATGTGTGTTTCTGTAGGGGGAAATTATACTGAACTGAGCTGTAGGCTGCAAAGAGGTTGAATAATACGAGAACAGGAACAAGTAGTTATAGTCTGTCTCTGGTGTGGTTCAATAATCAGAGTTCAAAGTTTTCCTTTAATAAATTATGCATATAAATATATTGGTTATGTTTTTCTCATGCTTTGTTCACAAAAAATAATTACCGTTCATGAATATTTTCTTTAATTTCAAATAGTGCATGTGAAATGATGGACCCAAACTTTGATCTCCATCCTATTAGTGGAAGTGGTTTAATTATTTTCAGCTATTACTCCATTCTGTTCTATTGGTGCTGCAACGTGTACAGAGATTGTTTTTTGAATTGTTTGCGTCAGCTTTCAAACGATTTTGAAGTGCACCTGCACCTGAAGCGCATGGGAGACGTCCCAGACTTGAAGGGACAAAGGTGGGGACGGTGCAGCAAGATGAGGCTTGCGATGAAGCGCTCGTGTGCGCTCATGTGTGTAACAGCAGCTCAGTATCCGGAAGACCAGGCTGTAAACTGCAGATTTTCATGGCGGCTGCAGGATGCGCAACACCATCCTGGAGCTTGCTATTTCTTCTGATTGCCTCCTTGCCTAATCAGCAGTCACTCAATTGAGTTGGGGTTGCATTTGAGCCATCTGGTTTCGTGTTCAGTACCCCATTTTCAATGAATTTGGTTGTTTATAACATGAACTTTATTGTCTCGTGCAGGTTTTTTATGAAAAATATGGATTTATATTTGAAATCCTCATGGTTTCTTAGGCAGAGTTACTAGCTTGGGTTGCTGTAATTTTTGTTCTGTCTAAACGTAGAATTTTCTGAAAAGAAAATATTGCTTTCCCACATTATATCTAAATTTGAAAAGAGTAATTTTCTCAGCAAACTAAATTTGCTAAAACAGTTTTTAATTTCAGATGCAAGTTATTTTTGTTAGTTCTTTTCTGCTGTCAACCATCTGTATCAAATACACTTTTAAAGTCTGTGTACAAGTGCAAAGAGAACATGGAGGCATAAGAAAGATGAAAAACATTATAATCCAGAATATATCCGGTAAAAATACACATTTAAATAGATCAAATATTAAAACCTGCTGTTTTGATGGTGATAGGTGCTGATAAGAAATAGTATTTTATGTCTACCTTTGTGAAATGTGGTCAGCAACATAATAGTGTTTGCTAAAGACATGTGCAAGGCTTTTATGGTGGTTTTTATTCCTTCTAATCTTTTTTTAAGGCAATTTATGTCCACTGTGGGGCTCGTTTTCTCTCTTTCTCTCCCTCCTGCTCTGCTCTCCCCTTCTAGCTGTAAACCTCCACAGATTCTTAGTTTCTACAGCCCTAGACATTTCATAGGGTGTTTCATTAAACATTCATCATAATTTGTTAAACTTAACCCCCAGCTTCCTGACAGTAAAATAGCACACAAACACACCAAGGAATTTCTTTGGGAGGATATGCTGAATACCAGTTCATACCAGTTTCTACTTGTATTCTTTTTAATGCTTAGACCTTGGAAACAACGAGGAGTTTGATGGCAGGAAAAAAGAATTCTGACCTTTGGTGCTGGTTTATGTCTTTATCTTGCCATGCTCAGGTGCTGTGGGAATTTCCTCTGAATCTGCAGTGAAATGGAGTATATCATTCCATTTCTGTTTGTCTTGGTGGGTAAGCATTTCTGCTGGGGATCGATCAATCCCATTTGCCTGCAAGGAGCAAGTGCTGTGCCTCAAGTGTGGAGAAGCCAAAGGGCTGGAAATGGAGAGAAAAATGGTTCTGAAAAGGAGTAGGGAGTTTTGCTACTTTTGTGCTCTGTTCTGTCTTGAATCTGAAAATAGAGTAAGAAATAATGCCTCCATTCAATGCTTTCTGCTCATGATACCTTGTATAGATTGGGAGAGAAAGAGGTGGTATTTTCTAATCACTCCATCCTTCTTTGAGCTGCGTGGAAGCAGCTCACAAGCAGTTCATCAGAAACAACCCAGTACTCTTAAGCCAATATGCGAGGCTGGCTCTGGAGGTGGAACGTGCCTGTCTTCAGACTGTGAGAGTTGAGGCTCTTCAGCCGGGAGAAGAGAAGGTTCTGGGGTGATCTTATTTGCTGCCTTCCAGTACCTAAAGGGGGCCTACAAGAAAGCTGGAGAGGGACTTTTGACAAGGGCATGTAGTGATAGGACAGGGTGTAATGGCTTTAAACTGAGAGGGAGTAGTTGTAGATCAGATCTAAGGAAGAAATTCTTCACTTTGACAGTGGTGAGGCACTGGCACAGGCTGTGCAGAGAAGTTGTGGATGCCTCATTCCTGGAGGTGTTCAAGGCCAGGTTGGATGAGGCTTTGAGCAACCTGATCTAGGGGAAGGTGTCCCTGCCCATGGCAGGGGGGTTGAAACTAAGTGATCTTTAAGGTCCTTTCCAAACCAAACCATTCTATGATCATTCCTGCAGGGTTCCGTAGGAGTGTTGCTGTTTGCAGATTAGGCTTTAAAAATAATTTGAAAGCATTGTTTCTATAAAAGTGATTTAGTAAGGGGGGAGGAGGGGGTTAGTGTTCTGTATATACTGTAATCTCAGAGATAAAGAGTTTATGGAGGTTTTTGTCAAGGATTTAAAAGTGAGAAAAGTTTTTCGTGCAGATTTTATTATCAAGTTCCCACTACTTAATCCCAGTTCTCATTTAAGAAGTATAATAAAATTATACATAATATACCAAATTTGTACCTTTTGTTGCTTGCTGTGCTTTCTTACTCTGAAGGCACTGAGTGAAGGGCAGGGGCTCTGGTTGTTTAAGGAACAGCCACCCTGGGCACCCTGGACCTTACTCTAGAGACTGGAAGTTGGTTCTCCTGATGGGAAATAGCTGTTGAGAGGTTGTGATCTTGTAGTGTGGGATGCTCCTGCTGTGATTTGAATGATGGGAGGATCTGAAGATATGAATTGTCACCTGGAATTTGACTTGGTTGATGAGTACTTGTGAATAGCAGTCCTTACCTGCCTAAATACAGTCTTTAACACTTTGAAGTCTATCAAAGATATGTATTTGGATTTTTTTTTGAGGAAAGCTACCTGCTTACAAATACACATTTAAAAAATGTTGGATGTCGTTTTGGGAAAGTTTTGTTAATAGCATGAAATTGATTTTGAGCTGATTGAAATGGCCATTCGTAAACAAAAACGCAAGACTTGCATTGTACAAGGGAACATTGTCTCCTAATGAAGGTGTTTCCCCCACCCCCTCTTTCAGCATTTGGCTCCCCAGGCTGCTGCAATTGCTGTTGCTCTGTTTTCAGTGCTAAAATCCATAAAGTTTGTAGCTGAAACACAGCTTGGGAGTTACAGGAAGACGTTTTAAGATTAAAGTTGTGTGTGTTCTTAAGGGGATTGATTTCTGAAAAAGGGATGGTTCCATGTTCCCCCGCGGGTCGGGAACAGCTGCTCTGCACCGCTGATGACTCTGCAAGGGCTTTGGGTGGGAGCAGGGACTCTGTTCCTATTGCAGTGTGAGTTTTCAAGCTGCTATGCGAGATGTCTGCCAGAATCCTTTCAAGTGTGCCATCACTGCCTTTGGCTTTACGCTTTCATTTTGATTTGGTGAGAGCGACTGTTCCTGCTCCTTGAAGCCCAGAGGTTTGTCGCTGATTTGCTGTGGGCTCAGCCGGAGGGTGTCAGGACTCGGTTGCTGGCTGCGTGACGGGTCAGATAGCGAGTTTGTGTCCTGGACTTTTCTGTGCCTTCGTTTCGTACTGGTGGGCTTCATTTCCTTTCTCTGGATGCTGTGAATAGACTCATAGAAGATTTTTTTTTTTTTTAAATAATCAGGTTTTTGACATGAGCTGTGTGATTAATCTGGACCATTACTGAACTCCTGAGGTCTTTATGACACTGGGAGTACGTGAAGAGCTTGGAATTGCACTGATTGTTCTGTGCTCTGCGTTGGAGTGATAACGGTGGGCTCTCCTTCCTGGCTCTAAGCCTCTTATGCTGGGAAGAAGCACAGTGTATCAGCACAATGATGAAACGGAGGAAACAGAGACTTGGAGCCCCGTCTCTGCGGATCCAGTAAGGACTGTTGTGAAAAATAAATTGCACTTAAACATTTCAAATTGAAACTATGAAGAAAAGCAAGCCAGAGTTTTCTGTGGCCAGTAGGCATAGCTTTTATTTGTTAGAACTTCCTTTATCTGTCATATTTATTTGGCTGTACATGAAATTTCATTTGGAAGCTTTAACATTTTACTCTTGTGGAGCATTTACCATAAAGTATAGCCAAAAAAGAGCAATATTTAGGTGTTTTTAAATGGGGTATGTTGTGGTTAGGTTTTGCCACATTTGTCATTACAAATGAATGTTTGTAACTCTGTCTTTCTAGTTTGATCACTCTTCAGATTTAAAAAGTACTTTTAATAATCTGCCATAGAACAGTCACAGGGCTCAAATCTACAGAAACCTTTGCCCTTTATTATCTTTCTAAATTAAGAATGCTCTTGAAAACTTTCAGATTCGAAGCAAAAAATCTTTATATCGCCACATGTATTTCTACAAATGAATTTTAAACAAGCAATTCCTTTTTAATGGTTGCATCTTTTATAAATGCTTTGAAATCTACTAATGAGAACTGCTATTTATGATGTTCATAATTATTTTTATTATTTTATTAGTTAAAATTAAGGAAATTATATATTTAATACTATGTGTATAAGTAGAGGAGGTTAAATGAATCCATCATATAATCGGTGATGGCAGGAGCAGGGTAAGAGGCAGGCTTAACCTTTTCTGTCTGCGGACTGTAAAGCTCATCAGCTGTTTAAGCAGCAATTGCTAGTGGGAAGGGTTTCCAATACGTAAAGGTTACTTACTGATAAGTATTTGGATTCATTAGGAAATTTAAAGCAAGGAACATTGACCAACATGCTTGACTTCAGGACTTTCAATGTAAAATGTCTGAATACTGAACAAAACTGAAGCATGTCCCGGATTTCTCTTTGCTCGCTTTTATGCTTGAATATGGTAAACAGAAACTCTTTTTCATCCCTCAATCAAAATCAGATTTATAGCTGTAAAATTACAATGGTACTAGTTTGTTTTCTAACACGTAAGTACACTTTATATTACCAATAGTTGTTAAGTTAACTTTTACTTTATTTCTAGTGAAGGACATCTCATCGTGTATAGTTCAATAAAGTAGGTGTTAGAAGCTCTTTTTTATATTTGTGTAGAAGTCTGTTTGCAGCTTTTTGGAAAGCAGCTATTTTGAGAAATTTTCTGTGCTCTCTGTGTATACGAATATATGTTGGCTGCTAACCCTGCAAAAGCAGTATAGTTTACAGAACTAAGCACAGAGCTGGGAATCAGTGTCCTCAGCTGTGATCCTGATGCTGCCATAGGTGTGCTATGGACGAGTCACTTAAGCTCTTTGTGCCTCAGTTTCCCTATTGCTAAAATTAAAATAAAGCCATTTTGCAGTGCTGCTTTCTGCTTTAATTAGTTGTTGTTACAAAACATTGTCAGTGCTAAATGTCGTTTTCTGGTTAATAGTTCATGTGATTGATGTTTTCACAGTTGCCTATCTCTGTTGTTGCCACAGCCACGGTGTGGAACCATGGCTCCCAAACTGTGAAGGCTGTGATATGAATGGTCCACGTCTGTTACTGGTGCCATTATCAACTTTGTTAATTTTTCTCAATTAAATGTTTAACATTAAGGATTGAAAGTGGTGTGTGTTCCAGAAAGCCTGGAAAGCACTACAAAAAGGATGGTTACAAGATTTTCATAGTGGAAAAATAATATTGACTAGATATTATATTGACTGAAAAATACATTTGGATTTGGATGGTAACTGAAAGGATGACTGACTTAGTTTATTGCGCTTATTAAGAAGATATAACTTGTATTCTGGAATTATCTTTTTTTTTTTTTTTTTAATTGAAACAGAAGATGTGATATTGACCCTATTTTATTTTTTTTCTACCGTGGTACCTTGTCAGAATCTCCTCTCCTTTGTACTCCCACTGCCGAGGAAGTGATGTTCATCAGCACATGTTCTCTCCTACATCTGCTCCAGGTCTGCAGCACCTTAAATTCCCATTTAGTGCTGACTGTGCACTTGTTACATCTCCTCTAGTATTTTACCTGAACTCACAAGCCCAGAGCAATCCGTCTAGTCCATGCTACAGCCATCCTTTTCAGTGGAGGTAAGGAGAGGTATCAACTAGGAATTTCTAACAGTTTGGTGTTGGTGTAACCGTGAATGGACTTACCAGCTTTATAGTTTGAGAGAATAATATCTAACAGAAGGAAACAGCTTTGTAGTTGTAATTTACTTCCAGTCACTTAGAGTTCAGCTTGATGTTGCTTATTGGTACAAATTTTTCTAGTTCATGTGTAGTTTAAGGCCTTACGTAGAGAAGAATGTAAAATTAATTGAGGAATGGAAACCTGCTTACCGTGTGTGCATGCAAATTCCTGGTTGTACCTTGTGCTAGCTTCTGAGTGCATGTGCAACTGGTACCATGGACCGAAGGAACCCTCACAGGTATTGCTGATGTCAAGAAAACCATCTTAAAGGTAAACCAGCCTAGCGTAGCGTCCCTAAAAATCTGTGCCTGGAGTAGCGGCTCTGTGCTTATGTACTGCACTGTAAATCCATGTTGGTTTCTTACAGAAGCTAGCGGGCTGAAGCCTCTGTCTCCAGACACAGGATCTACTAAAGATAATGAATAAAATCAAGCCTGTTGTTAGGAGGCTTAAATATGAGATACTACAAGAGTTTGTAAACTGAAAAAAGTCCAAAACAGCTCAGTTTGTATGAAAGCATTTTAGAGCTTGGCTGATGTATTTTTCCTTCAGGAATAGCCCTTCCTCCACATTGTGCTATTATGGAACATGTATGACCATCAGCAGCCCCAGTGGAAACCTTCAGCTTCTTCACTAAGGAGAAAGTTCTCCCAGTGAGATAGTCACTGACAAAGGCTAACACAAGCTAGAGATCTTTGTGTGTGCGGCTGTGAAATCGGAGCTCAGTGGTACCTACTTAAAACTTGAGCCAGCAGAGCTGTCAGAGGGCTGGTTTTGAAGTTCACATGCTGCAGCGTGGATGTAGCTGGTCAAATTTCAGTTACTCATCAGGTGGTAATTCAATAGCCCCTGAATCTAGACTGCTATTTCAGAGGGACGTTGCTTTTGCTGGCCAGCTCTGCCAGGAGTAACCAGAAAATGTGAAGTTGAGCTATTTTAGACATCTGTCCCTCTGATGGAGAGTAACGTATCCTACATCTGTTGGGTGGAAATCAGGTTGTGTGTGTCTGAACTTGATGTGTTTTGCCCTGCCATGAAGAGAGAAGTGGTTGGCCAGTGTGCCTGCCACTTTCTCTGCACGTTGGGCAGCACTTGGTGAAAATTCTTACGATGGTGCTCATTTTGGCAGCACTTGCAGTGGAGGGCAGGGCAGTGACTAAAGAGCAGTCTCAACATTTTAGTGTCATTGTCATTGATGTAATTTAAAAATATTTTTTGTTATTTAAAAGCTGGTATTGGGTAATGTTCCTTTACAAGGGTGATTAAATGTGATTAAATGCTGTTTAGCATTAGGGCTAATTTAACAGACTCATAAGTAGTAATTAATTATCAAAATTAGATTACTGTTAAAGTCAATCGAGAACGGTTCTTTTTGGAGAGGAGGTCTAATGATTATCGATTATTTTCAAAAGCCTTTTTGGAACTTCGCTTTTTTTCTGCTGAGACTTCTCCAATCTTCAGACTTTTGACATGGGCCAGTGAATAATTTTCTCTTTAAGAATAGGTCGTATAAAAGTCTTAGTGTCGAGTTATATTCCGCTGTTACTATGGACTCATCTTGATAATAATCTTTTTCACATATGGAGACCTTCCAGCCATCTGCTCTCTAAATACTGAATGGTTGATGATTCACAGATACATAGCTCTGTGTAAGAACATAGGTCTACTATAATAACTTTTTATTTTCGTCCTGTTACTTTCACCTGTGCAGCTTTTGATCCTGTTTTATCCTGTCTTTCTTTGTTGTAGTTTTGTTTA